GGCCTGAAGAAGTCACACTGGATGTAAACTAATGCAGTTCACTGTTGAAGGAAACACAATGATGGGTTCAGAGGGATCTGCCTAGTTTCAGGTTTAGACAACAGAAACATCATCACCCTAAATTTTATGAAGCTTTTGATGCTTCTTCTTCTCCTTATTTAAAATTAATTTAATCCACAGTTATTCTTGTTATACATTAAAATACACACGTTTAGTAATAATAAATGACAGTCTGTGAGTTTTGTAATACTGTGTATACTATGAGCAAAGTAACCAGTAAAATACAGAAGTTCTTGTTAAAGTTTCTAGTGTCAATGTATCAGAAAAAAACAAGTTTCAGTGACAATATTCATTAAATGTCAGAATTTTATGATTCAAATGATTTTCAACATGAATCATCACATTATTGGTCATTGAGGACTTACCTAATACAGTTATAGAGACAGTGTTACTGATCTTTGTATAATATGATCCCTTCATGCGACCAGAGCACTGATATTCACCACTGTGACTTGAATATTTAATTTCTAATGTGTACTCTTTGATTGTGCTGTAGCGGATTAATTCTCGACCATCCTTGTTGGTTTTGTATTCCCAGTCAGTGTCTTTTCCTTCATTCATGTCACATTTGAAGGTAACAAACTCTCCAATGAAAAAACTGGACCAGCTGGGTTCAATAGTTAGCACAGCATCTAAAATCCAACACAACCACAAAGTTAACAACCTGAAAAACATTTATGCACGACACAATCTGTGACAGTATGTTCATACACTGTTCATATACTGAATAATAAAAAATATAAAACACATGTGAACTGTAATTAAGATTTATGTAGTATTTTAAGATGAATATTTAACAAATAAATTAAATAAAAGTGAAAACCTCTCAGTCACCTTGAGCGTGTCCAGTGCAGAGGAGCGTACATAGCACTACAATAAAGACAGAAACTTCAGACATTATCAAACTAAAGACACTCAAATGTGGCTGTTATCGCCTAGGGATGTAAGGAGGTAACATCAGAGACAGCCCCAGTCAGTGTCAAAGGTTTGGGCTTTATTAACAGAGGCAAACACAAAACACACACACAACAGAAAACCGGCAGCGGTCGTGTATTTGACCTCACATGTAGGGAAGCGGCCAGTGCCTGTGTCAGCGCTAACACCCTAGTCACATATCAAGTGAAGGGTCATAATCAGAGTTGCCTCTCTAGAGGCAACTGGGGTGTGTGTGTGTGTGGGGGGGCTGGCAGCCTCAGCACCTCACAAAGTGCCTGTTTCGCTTGGCACATCATCATCCTCCTTTTATAACCGTGGAATGCCAGGCAGCACGGTGGCACGGTGGTTAGCACTGTTGCTTCACAGCAAGAAGGTCCTGAGTTCAATTCCACCATCAGGCCGGGGTCTTTCTGTGTGGAGTTTGCATGTTCTCCCCGTGTTTGC